CCACCCCCACCCAATGAAGTGGCTGGTGAAGTTGATGACTCCACCTAATCAAAGCCATATGCCTGCTGTCATAAAACTCTTGTTTTATTTTTTGTTTTTTCGAGGCACAGATTTCTTTCGGCGTTAGCGTTTGTGCCAGCGGGAGAATTAACTCCTGACGGTGGAGAGTGGAGGAGCGGGAGGTTCATCTGTCAGAGGCAGAAAGAGAAGAATTTCTCCCCAAAGGGCCCAAAAACATCACATTTTGTAAACTTGAGTGAATTTGCAGTGACAGGAAGTGAACTGCTGGAGTTTAAATGCAGATTTGTGATTGGAAAGTGAAATACGTGTGTTGTCCACCACAAATAGATGCCATGAAGGAGATGGAGCTAGAAAGTAGTTTAACAGAGAAACTAGACGATGGACTCCACTGCCAGAAGTCAGAGTCTAACTTAGTTCTGAGTTTATCTTACGAACAAAGTTCTTTCCAAAGCAGAAGCTCCAGACTTTACTCCAGTCCCAGGTTCTTAAAGTACAAATATTCTCTCTGAAATTGAAAGGAGTTTTGTTTCTCCATCATAAACCGATGAGCGATGCAGTGGAAACTAAAGCCGTCGACCGTGGCCAGATTTACAAATCAGAGAATATTTTTTAAGCCTCTTCTCTGGCGACAGCTGTGGCTTCATGTTGTCAGGCTTGTCCGTCTGATTCTCCTGAACGAAATCTCTCAGGAACGCGTGAAAGGAATTTCTTCGAATTTGGCACTAGCGTCCACGAATACGATTTTTGGAGACGGTCAAAGGGTCAACGTCAGTCTGACGTCACAGATCATGTTGTCAGCTCTGAATCAAGAGGATATTTTCGAGGGAAATATTCGAAATGGATGAAGCGATGGAACGAACTGCCACACAACCTCCAGAAACTACTCACCAACTACACTTTTGATTCTAGTTTCCGTTTATCTTACTTGACCTTGACAAGAATCTTTAGTCTTATCGAGATCTTAAGCCTGAACTCAACTCTAGATAAACTTCCCACGTGACGTCGAAACAATTCAAAAAGACACACTGTGAAATTTAATGAGTAACGATCGGAGGATTTCATTTTCAACTTTAGCTCCGACCTCGTCTGTTTGTCTGACCGGAGAAGATAACGTTGATCCGTCACTCGATCCGTCAGCGCTCCAGAATATCTGAGATCTCCCCGAGGTGACGTGTAGAGGACGTGAGAAGCTGCTCTGTCAGAGGGGACTTGTTGAGAAAACAGTGGAGGACAAGCCGGACCGATCCTGTGTCAACACGACGTCCCAGCTCTCCGATAAATGTCGTTGCATTCCCACGATGCTTTCACCCTGTGACCAGAAGACTCACGCTGCTGAACTGCTCCGTTCAGCTCCATGGAATATGTTAGCGGGAGGAAGACGGGGCCTTCCTCCCGCTCCCTGAGAGCCTCACAGGGTCCTCGTGCTGGACGCTCTCTCTGGGCCCGACGCACTGATCAGACCCAGATGCGGCTGAAGTGTGGACGGGGGACAGCGGACGAGCGGCACTGATTGATCGGGGTCAGGATGAAGTGCGGATTCACGTTTCTTGACTCTGACCCCCCCTCCTCCTCCTCCTCCTCCTCTCAGGTTTTCTCCTGATGCCGGTGTTTTATGTCCGCTGTTCAGACGGCGTGCAGCTCACTGGGGAGCAGACGTCGTTACGCTTCACGTCTGGCTCCTCGCCTCACCTCTGCTGAGTGTTTAATGAACTCTTTTACAGTCGGAGGCTAAATCTCAACCGCAATTTATAGGTGCCCAGAACCAGCTTTCAGTGAATCCTTCTACCTGCCCCCGCTGTGAGACGCTGATTAAAGCAGATGAAAAACAAAAACAGGGAATGCAAATCAGCTGGTGGGAGAAGGAACTGAATTTGTTTTTACATCTTCCATCTGTGTGTGTGTGTGTGTTTCCCTCGCAGAGTTACTGCTGAGTGACAGGGCAGCTCAGCTTTGTTATACGGTTGTTAAAAAAGAAAAGTACAAAAGCATAGTACTTTAATATGTATTTTTGAAAATAGAACACTGAGACAGGAGTAGAGTCGTAGTACTTACAGGAGGAGGAGGAGGAGGAGGAGGAGGAGTGGCCGCAGGTTTGGTTTCGGACCCGGAACCTTTCTGTCGTCCTTTCACGCCTCCAACAAACTTCCAATAAGAGACACGTGGTTCGTACCTGCACCCTCAAGCCCGACGGTCCCTTAAATTCAGTCAAGCTGCACCAATATTCAAAAGACCAATAATGACTCACTTGTGGTACATTTTTCAAACTCATTTTTCTATTAACAGGTTTTATTAAAGTTTAAAAATGACAGGAGCTCCCTTTTCACATTATTCCATTAAAATACAATCAAGCTGCACCAAATCTCACACGCTCACAACTTTAACGTGATAGATTCTTTTTCCATCCATGAAAGATTTCCTGGTGAAGATGCTGGAAAACGCAATGTTTAGGAAAGTGGAAAAAAAAAAAGTTTCCTGGATTTGACGCCTCATCAAGATCCACACAGAAAATGTCATGAGCTCTTTGTGTCGTGAAAATCCGTCCGGTAGTTTAACGAACCAACAACAGACGGACGGAGGTAAAAACTTCCCTGGCTGAGAAAATAATCCAAAACATTTAACGAAACAAACAAACAGTGAACTTGTTGCACAACCAGACTTCCTTGTTTTGTACAAATGTAGAAAACGTCTCCTGTATTTAGTTTTCTACCGACCCTGCTCTGATATGTCTCCCTCGTCATTCGTCTGGTTTTTATTCCCCCCCCCCTCAGGACCATGCCGACCATGCAGAGCTCCGTCGTCCTGCTGATCGTCAGCATGCTCATTGGTCTGAGCTGCTCCCTGAACCCACAGGACCCGAACGTGTGCAGCCTGTGGGAGAGGTGAGGCCACAGTTTATGCATAAGTTTGTTTTAGCAGCATCCAAGAGGTGTTGGGTCCGGACTTCGGTCAGGACGCTCATCCATCACAATGATGAGCAAATTCACTTTTTACTGTTTGACGAGTCGGTTCAGTTTTCAGGACAGAACTAGTTTTGTAAGTGAGTCTATCAGAACGATCGGGGCCGAATAACTTTAACTTCAGTGTTTCATGAGTCTCTAACATCTAAATCTAAATAAGAACAGAATCAGGTTTCATCTGAGGCAGAACGTCTAAAGAAAATCAACTCAAAGGAGACGTTTTACTTTCCTCTCGTTGGGTTTTGTTTAAGTACAAGTTAAAAAGCCCAAAACCTAAAATGTCCGGCTAACATCACGGTCTTAGCTCATAAGTAAAACGTTACCAGAGATGAAGCAGGAAAACGTTTTCTATTTATTCTGTGAATCATCGACAGCACGAACGTTCTGTTCTTTCCTTCTTCAGCTTCACGACCTCGGTCAAAGAGTCCCACCTGCATCCTTACGACCAGGTGACGGAGGAGCCCTGTTCGGACCCTCGCACCTCCAACAGATGCATGCGCCACAGGTAGTGCCAGCGTGACGACTCATTTCCTGTCGGGGTCGACTTCCTGCTCCTGTCGGCGGTGGGTCACGGCATCCTGTTTGACTCTGTTACTCTTTCAGGATCACCTACAAGACGGCCTACAGGCAGGCGGTGAAGACGGACTATCGCAAGAGGTACCAGTGCTGTCCAGGATACTACGAGAGCAGAGACAAATGTGTCCGTAAGTAACCGTGGAAAACTTCTAACCGTCCTTCCTTCCTTGTTCATAAATCAGACAAACAATTAAACAGCAGCTCGAGGAAGAACAGTGAGAGTCCTTGGTCGGCAAAGACTCGTCAGAATGTCTTAAAGAGTCAAGATCAATATCTTGGTGAGCTCACCGAAGTATAGAGAAGAAGAAATACACTCAGAGTACATCATAAAGTATGAAACACAAATAAAATGAGAACCATTAATCTGAGTCCTCAAAACAAACGTAATAAATACAACTTCTGCATTAATCTGGCTCCATAAACCAGGTTCTGGAGAGGATCTTCGTCTCTTTGCTAATGATCATCCACAGACGCATCCATACATTTTATGTGAAGAGCTTTTACGTATTAAAATCAGATCCAAGTGAATATTTTACCCTTTATGTATTTTGAGTTATATTCCTGTGTTTGCTCCTGGTTCAATAAATCTGGCGATAAAACTATTGAATCTCGGATTTACGTAATAAAATCCATTTAATCCGGGTAGAAGTTAAAAAATAAAGTTACTTGTCACTGAACGTTTCAGCCAAATGTGCGTGTTTGTCGAAGCAGTGAGATTCTCAGGAAACAAAGTAATGTGACGCTGCAACACGAGGACGGAGGAATTCAATCAGCAGCTAAAATGGTGGCTGTGGTCTGTAAGTGAAATAATGTCACATTCTGTGCACACACAGTGATTCACTCTCATTACGCAAAGCAAGCTGTTTTTCTCCCTTTTCCACACAATGTGCAAAGTCAATGAGGAGCATATGACACTGGAATTACCAAAATTATGGGTTTGATTCCCACCGGAGCTTCTCATGTTGAAAACACACAGTATGTCCTGGCAGCACCAGCTGGAATCTTCAAACTGTGTGTTTGTTGAAACCCTGACGCTCCCGTCCTGGTCATCTTTATAATCTCATTTCAAGGATTTCACTTCTTTTTTTCTTTTTTTTTTTGTTTCCACCAGCAAAATATATGAAAGACTCAGATGTGACACAACTGCTGGTAAAAAGCTCAGGCTTGAAAAACCAGCTCAACAACCAAAACCCCTTTAACAGTCTCACCGAGGCAACGCTCACTTTAACTTTAACATCATTTATACAATGTGCCGGATTATTTACCCTCAATCTTTCATCTGGGGGAAAAAGGTGAAAGTGTTCAAATCTTTTTAAAGAAAGTGAAAAGAAAAATCCTGGATCCGCACCAGAAGTGAATAGCTCCGACCCTGACCTCCTTGGAGGAGGTAATAAATATCAAGCCGTCAAAACCAAAAAGGGGCTTTTAGATTTCAGGTCACAGTTTATTTCTGGAGAAGAGTCACAGGATATTCGTAAAAGTTTGTATTTAAAGTTTCATGATGTACATTTTATATACTGGTGGAATGTTGGATCGTGTTTTGTGACCGTCTGAAATCTATGAAAAGTAAACAAAGTAAACACGTCTCTAATAAACTTTAAGGAATATTTAACACACTTGTGTTCTAACATCGTCCAACAATGTTCAAACCCAGAGAATCTGACTTATTCAAGTTATCAGGACGGATTATTTCGACTTTTAATTGCGTCACATCCACTTAACAGAGGAATTCAACTCCCATGATCCCACACTGCTACAAACTGGGTCTTCTGGACCCCTAGTGGCCGAAGTAACATATTTAATATTGAACTTTTAAGATGTTCAGTTTCTTCTTTTTGAAAAACCTGAATCTGAACTTGAAGAACTTTCATGTTTACGGTTCGAAACGAATCCAGTCGGAGGAATATTTTTGTCATGTGAAAAGTAAATAAACTGTCGCAGCCGTAAATGGTAACAGTGACACACACACACGGAGAGAAACCATAAATGGTCTCGACGGTTCAGAAGATTCTGCCTCAGCTTTATAAACGGGCTGATGTCAGAGAGGACGATGGTAATAACAAGGTCTGTGTGAGTGGAGGCCTCGAAAGTTGAGGAAGATAATTTCGGTCGCTTATTGTTGACACACCTTTCACAGCAGCCTCTAATCTTGACTGTGTGTGTGTGTGTGTGTGTGTGTGTGTGTGTGTGTGTGTGTGTGTGTAGGTTCTGCGGCCAAACAAAAGCTTTAGATTTTCCTCTGCTGAGTTTTACAATTGAAATCTCTCTTCAACGTGTCGTCTCTGACTCCTCCTCCTGTACAGTGCACTCTTTGTTTTCTAAATACATATAATCAGACATAATTGGACGTACCTCCTTCGTTTGATGACGCGTTGGTCTTTACTTAGATTCCCCCCAACTCGCCACCTTCCCACGCACGCTCGACTCGGGAGAAAATAAAGAGAGGGATTATTGTTTGTGCCTGAAATATACGGCACATGTTTTCAATGGCACACGATATTTGTGGCAGAATTATTAGTCTTCAGTCAGAAATGCATGATGGAGTTAACTTAATTAGGAGCAGAAGCGTTTCTAATGCCGGCACGCAGGCGCTTTAAAGACGCTGTTTAGCATCTGGAGCCTTCAGCTGCTCGGCCGAGTCCAGTTGTCAGGACGGACACGTGACTGGAACTGTGACAGTGAAGCCAGTCGATATCTCAGCAACGACTCAAAGAACACACATCAAACTAACTCGGTGACATTAGAAACGAACTGTGTTGAAAATTAGAGCGATTTTGATTTTAGTTGTTTTGCAATTCAACTTGAATTTGTTCTCATCACTCAGTCAGGTTTTTTTTTCACCTCGCTCCAGGAGGTCATGGTTTTTTTTGCGGATCCAAGATTATTTTTTCTTTAACGTTTTGAATCAGGACGTTTTTTCAACCTTTTCATAAATTTCTCAGAGAATAATTCTTGGATCTCTGTCATGTTTAGACGACTGACTCCACCGAGTCTGTGTTCAGGATTCAGGACGGGACTTCGGTAGCTTGAACTTGAAAGTTTGAACTCTGTTTGCTCATATCTCCTTTAATCAGGATCCGAATCAGCACAAACATTTTGGGTGTGCCACCTTGACATGCAAATAAAGTCATGCAAAAAATTATAATTTACATACATACAGGTACAACAACAGATGATACAGAGAATTTCCCACAAAGCCAGGTCTGTTTACAAGTTGTGCTTCTGATCCACAGCTCGCTGCACCAAGGAGTGCGTGCACGGCCGGTGTGTCGCTCCCGACCGATGCCAGTGTGAGAGAGGCTGGCGAGGAGACGACTGTTCCAGCGGTATGAATCGGCCTTTTCTCTCCCCCTCAGACATGTCCTCACTCTCTCGCTCTCATTTGCTTTTTCCTTCTATCACTTTGTCTCGTCTTCACTCTCACATAAACAACAGGAAATGACAACTGGCCTTTAGTCAAGGGATGATCTGCTCCTGCAGCGCTCCATCACACAGCGCAGGCCTTTCCAATGGAAACAGCAAAGGGAGTGTTACGGCAATGAGTCATTAACGTCAGGCTCAGCCCAGAAGTGTCTCGGTTCTCTTCCTCCTCCTCCTCCTTCTCCTCCTTTCACTCACTCACTTTTCAAAAGGAGCAGTTATAATGAGCCATAATTCAGCTTTTCTCCATAAAGTTGAGAAGTGCTCTAAATTAAAAACAATCAAACAATCAAGTGTAACGAGGCCGATACGTCTCACTCCACGAGATGCACTGAAAGAAGCCAAAGTCCATAAAACAGTTAAACAGACATTTCATCTTCTTTTCTTTTTTTTTTACCCGTTAATACTTTTACAAACTTAAGTCAGCAGAAAAGAGTTGTAATATTTATTCAAGGCGTTGGAACAGTAAGTTTAACCCTGTTCGTCTTGTCTGAAATCTTTAAGTGTGAAACCAGAACCACGTTTCACTTCACTCCCCCCCCTTCCTCCCCCAGTTTTCCACTGCCTTCAGCTGGGTCAATAGTCCACAGGCCTCCTCCATTTCCCCCCCCCACTCCTCTGCAGAGAGAGGGAATTAGCTGTAACGGGCAGCGGTCGGTGTCTTGACAGGGGGATGATGGGAAGGGGAAATGGAAACTGTTACCCCACTACTCCGTCTTGCCTGGGCCAGTTTTTCTCCATCTCTCCTTTCGCTCCCTCTCCACCGCACTGCTCACTTACGTAAATTCTCTCTCTTTGTTTTTTTCGCTCGTCCGCTGCAGCTCTCCTCTGTATCGTCGTCTTTTTTTTTGGCAGAACTGGGCCCTGACGCTTCCTGGATGCCTGTGTGTTGAGTTATCTAACTGTGGGAAAGAGGAGAGGGCTCCAAGGGTTTTTAATACCGAACGCTCTCAGGACCGATCGCCCATAAATCTGGAGGATAAACGAGAGGAGGAGGGGGGAGGGGGGAG